TCAAAACGTTCACGTTTTTCTGGGACAACCCTTGTAGCTGCATTCATGTTTTGTAACTGTCAAAATAAAATTGCAGAAAACTGTCCAATCATTAACAAAGTTAGTTCACAAAAGCTATATACATTTAGAGTGGCAAATCCTTCTGCAGCAAGATAAATATCTGATCTCCAATAGAAACCGGATGACTATATATAGAATGAAAACTTGGGCATAATTGGTGCAAGCTTAGTCGATAACATCTTATTTAATAATGAGATGCGTTTTACATAGAATTAGCCTTATTGACGCGATGTTTGAATTTCACATTTAGGACATTTGGGGGGATTTCCCGTCTGTTAAAATTCACCTGTAATAATGATCAAAACATATAATAAAGTAAACAATGGATTTAACAACAGAAACAAAGTAAAGTTTGTAGCTATTTAAAAGAATATATTATGAGAACTTTAATGTAAAATAAAGAGTAAGTGATGTTGATAATGATATGAATATAATATAAAGACAGAAAATATATTGATTTTTAATAATAGGGATTGTTACAATAAACAGGTTATTTCTAATAAGATAAATAGTTTAATGAATAGAAGTACGATATGTAGGTATAACATCAATACAAAATCTTAAAGCAATATGAGCTGCATTTTTGAGAAATTTATTTTGCTGTTAAAATGTGCTGGTACGATAAATATGTGTGTAATTAAACCTTTATAATAAGTAAGTCTAAAGAAAGTATTATATTGTTTCAAAAATTGATTTCTGTGCATTGGAATGTATCGTATTATATAAGAAATCAATATTTGTACAGGACAACAATAATGTATTTTTGCTTCAATCTAAGCACATAAATAGTTCTTCCATCGCAAATACGAACGACAGAAGTTTATAAATGTTCTTATTTTCTATTATTAAATTAGTTACTTACACTTTTTCAACAAGAATTTCCGACATCTAAGTTGCAGCTCATGTTGCTTTAGAATGTTTTAGAATATGCTGTAAACATTCTTCATTTTATTCTGTTTATTATGTTTTTTTTTTATTTTTAGGTGGTGCGCTTCGTCTATATCAAAAAAGTTGATATGCTTGTTAAATGCTTATCAAAGCATTACCCTAATTACCGGACTAAATTTTCCTTGGGCTATTTTTTTCTACAAACTATACACCGAAAAAAATTAAGCTACCGGCCGTTATTCCAGAATCAAAATAATTGTTAATATTTTCCATTAATTAACAACACTGATGGCAACATCTTGTAATTAATAATTTCCAGGAGCAACAAGGGGATAAAAGTTGTCTAATTTTGCCTGATTGCCGAGTATACACTTTAGGTCTAAATTTGCGTGACTGCTGTGTTAAGGTCTAAATTTGTCTGATTGCCTAGTATAAATCTAAATTTGTAGCCTTTAATCGGCAAGTGTTGCCTATCTTCTCAACATGAGTGATTTTTTTTCAAGCACAATCAAATCAAAGTGATAAATCTATAAAATTAATGTAAATAATCGAAGAGAAATGAAATTCTTCTGTCAAGGTAGATTTCAAAAATCCATTCAATAACTGACCTCTTCCTATAATAATGAATCATTTCACTACTTATACTTGCTAGATAAAACTATGCCTTGGGTTTGAATACTATAACCTCGGGAGGAAATCTGAAAATTTTTAAATATTGATTTACTCTAGATGGGTCTTACACCCTCCTCCCTACGGCGAGCAAATACCATAAGTTTCACAAATTTTCTCCGCTACAATAACCCATACCACGTACCAAAACTATCGGTAATTAAAATTGGTTTTGCAAATTATGGTAAAAGTTTGAAAACATTTACAACCGACGGTGATAGACGTTACAATAATGCCACGAGGGCAGAAAAATATAAATAGCAATATTTTTTAAAAGCCTACTTGATTCATGAGAATTAAGATTCCTTCTTTTGAAAGACATGAACTGAGAAATGTTTCTGTCATTTCCATGTAATGTTGTAGTTCAAATCTTTATTGTAGGGATAAGTGTGTGCATTGAAATCAATTATTTGATTTTTTGAGAACTGAAATTTCGTATAACACAATGGAAACACCATTAGCATTTTCAAAATAATTGCAAAAAAGGAAATAAGTCGATATCATGAACAATCAAATACACGTAAAACAATCTGAATTGAAAAGAGTTTATAGTTACGTGTACGTGGATAAAAACATCCTTCATTAACTAACTGTGATCCAATTAAATAGTTCTCAATACAGTGGTTTCCATATGTTATCTCTTACAAAGCACATTTCTCTTTAGTATTTGAACAGATTGCGATTTGATGAGTGGATGGTTTAGGCTTATAAAAAAAGCAAATATACATATATCATAACAAAACATGCTGAAATATCTTATAGTGAACAGTTCCCATGACTGTTAATTTTTATTTATGTTGTGAATAGAAAGTAGAACAAAAACACTGTCCACTGCCAATATCCCTAATTTCAAATATAACACCATTTTTTAAAGACAGAATAGTCTATCCTTTCAAATTATGTTCATCATTTTTTCATCACATTTTTCAACAGAAAGATAATTTCTAAATTTGCAGCACTGAAAACACCAAATATGCAGCAAGAGACGAAAGATTAATAATAATAACTAACATCCCAAATATTTTATCTAATTTGCGGCTGGAACAAAAATAAATTGTTCTATTGACTTTTATTTCCTTCTTGCTAATATAAGACTTCTCAAGCTTTGTCAACATTTCGCTTACACTTCCACTGGAATCCTCCGTTTGATAATAAACATGTAAAACAATGGCTTCCAGTATCACAACCATTCCACTGACTGTTAACTGCGTGAATAAATACACGAGAAAGTACGAGACTTCATCAGATGTCTGTGGCATAAAGTCCTTCATCATCGTCAGAAAGACAGCAAAAGTTAGGAAGATAGCCATGCAGGTACTCATTTTCTCTCCTGATTTGGCAGGAATCAGGAAGCAAACTACGTTTAATGCAGATAAAATCCATACAGGTAGTAAATGTGAACACACTGCAAACAATGGTTTTCTTGCAAGATGAATGATTAGCAATGCCTGTTTTTCGTCTTCTCCCATAACAAGGAGATCTTCTATTGCTGCTGTAGCGTTTGTAAGTGACCATTCTATGTGTTCAGTAAAATATCTCAAAATATATTTATCTCCTTTAAGTTGTAAACGAATTTTAACAATGCCCGGAAAACGATTCAAATACAAAACTCTGCATACCTGTTTGTCAAAAGGATAATATTTCAAGCTTATCTTACAAGATATTGATACACTGTAAGAAAATGGCATACTAACTACGCCTTCAGATGATACAATTGAAGTTGGATCCTCAGGAGGACAATAACCGGACAAAACCTCGTTATGGATATAAATAGATCTCGGAAACCAAACTTCCTTTGAAGGTAGCGTTACGTCTGTAATGTTGTTATACTCAGGTGCATTCCATTTTAGACGTTTGTCAATCCAATTTATCACTGTTCCCATTGACAGAGAAAGAATTTGAGATTTCTCTTCCACACTGTTGATGGAGAATACATAGAAACTGAAGGTGATGTTCAGTATATCGCTGCCATGTTCTGTCGGCGGAACCAAAGGATGTGAGTGGTTTTGTATGTACTGATATAAATCTAATCGAGAAAGACCATATACGCCCCGAAATTTGTAAGAAAGTGTGGTCAGTACAAGCAAAAAACGTATCTCCATTTTAATATTGCAAATTCTACTTTCCGTGCATAATTTTTGCCCCGGATTATCCCGCTACGTTTCAGATACTTACTGTGGATTTATGTAAAAGGATCCATCCATTAGTAATCACTTAGATTAGGTAGCAAACCACTTAGGATTTGCATGCTCGAATGGTAATTTAAAAATGGTTTGATTGTTAATTCTTGTCAAATATTTAATGACAGTAGCAATGATATAAATTAAATAACGGTAATGTTTTCTGCGGTATTCGATGCTCAAAGCATCAATCAATGATTTTAATTGAACCTTTCGTATACAGACAAAAGTAGTTGGCCTTTATTGTATTTACTGAATGCTTCCAGAGATTACTTTTACGTTCAGGGAATTGATTGATTAATGTTGCAAATCTTTTAAAACGCTTGGAACAAGCTTATGAACTCATATTACATAAACGGAAATTCAATTATAGCCTATGTAATGTTAATGACATGGTGAAGACGCAGAGTAGTCTATCTCTAAAAAGCTAAAAGCAATATAAATAACAAAGCATACACATCGACCCCCGAATATAAATAGGTAAGATCATATGCCAAGCTAGGGGAAAACATTCCCGATAACACCTCCATCAGTCATACATACTGATCAGGACATAGTCAAATAATTGGTAAGAAACAATAGGCTTAACTGTTTATGTGAAATATGCCTGTGACTCAGTGATATGTATAATTTCTAACAAGATTATTTTAATTAACAACCACAGAATTGACTAAATGCTTCTTTTAGCAAGGTTCTCATAATCTTTCTAAAATAAACCTGCATGGGGTTTAAACTGATACTATTAAAGCTCTACTGAAGTCTTTTAAATGCCAAATCGGAGTCGGCCATATTAGTTTTCGATAACCCTACTATCTGCTAACCAGGTATCACCCAATTGTGTGGTCACGCACGAATGATTTAGTCAGTCGGTTTCATTCGAACAGGATATTCGCCAAGGCCTATTTGTAAAATTTTTATTCAATAAAATAAAAAGGCAGAAGTATCTCAAATTCTGAGATAAAATAAATGCTTTTGAAAGCATCTTTGGTGTTGAGCAACGCTGATAACACGCAGTTATATAGTCAAAGAAGTTGGTACATGTACTTGTGCAGCTGCAGTCCACGTGCACTAAAAAGCTGAAGTTCCTGGTTGTAAATATCCAAGACGAAGCCGAAGGTAAGATAAACGAGCATAAATGCAAAACCACCTAAAAATAAATTACGAACCAAAAAATATATTTACTTCGTAAAAACGTTGCAATGTGACAGGACCTCAGCTGACCGAACGACGACACGTCTGCACTCAGCACGATTTGACCGTGTTATGTCTTGCCCATGCGCAAAGGAAAGACTGGAGTGAAAATGAAAGTAGATCAAAAAGCACATGTGTAAACACAGGGGAACAATTATTATAGCTGTTCACGAATAAAAGTGACAATAGATAAGTACAATTGTTGGCGAATTGTAAAATTAAATCGTTTTATATTGCTTTAGAGTGTCAGCAGTACGAACATCGATATTTCGGACAATGCCAGTTATTGTGACGATGAAGAAAGCGAGCACCTGGAGCACAACATCATGAACATGTAAGTACTAACTAGAATGCAAAAAGTATTAAACTGTTAAAGCATCTGTGCACTGCTAATCTTCAAGCAAGTAATATTCATTTATCTTTTCTGATTAACTCATTTATTTCCTTTAATGCAAGTGAGATAGGTGCATTGCAGACTTGACCAGCTGCATATAATAATATTTACACATGCTGTATTGCATTCAGTTATGGCCCAACCCAATCTATTTTACCATTGTCACAAAATTAGTTTTTGGATTTGTTTGTCAGTTTTTTTTTTTAATTGAAGAAATCAGAATAATTAATTATTTGATTTGTCTTATATGAATATTGCAGTAATATCATTCTGTCATTATCTTTTAAACTCAGAGGATACTAATCAAATAAATGAGATCATGAACGAGATGCTATGTTTGGATCTTCTGGTTATAAGGTTGACGACAATGGTGAAAGTGATGAAGAAGAGGCGGCCGGCTGGGGGGGGGGGGGCGATGAATATAAGATGTGGAAAGATATATCAAGGTTTGTGAATGGCAAACGCTGATTGATTGATTTAATGTTTGATTGATTGTATATTTTTTAACGTCTGTCTCGAAAATTTTCACTCATATGGAGACGCCACCACTTGCTGGTGGAGAGTTGCAAATTTTGTCCTAGGTCTTTTGAGCAGGGAGGGATCTTTTTCATGCAGCGCCTACTGCGATACAGGACCTCAGTTTATACGGTCTCATCCAAAGGACTGGTATCCACGTCCTACAGTGGGATTTGAACCCACCACGTATGGATTGACTCCTTAGTTCACGAATCTAGAGCAGATGCTCTAACCACTTCGCGAAGTGGGCGACACACTGTAATGAAGAATTAGTAATTAACAAATTGAGTAGTTTTTATAACTATAAAAACAGCATCTGCTGTAAATAGAGTAAAACAAAGGTAGGAAAGATATGTTACATTCATGTTTACCTCACAATAAAAATCATATAAAATGATGGTATAGAATGTCACAAACATTGTGACTCTATTTCCATTTCTATTTGTTTTCTCTGTGATATTTCTTTGAGAGTTATGTGAGTTGATTTCTTGATAATTAATTCTACTGGAATGAAAATTTCGCTAACTTAAAGATCAGCAGCTTAGAAGGCCTCATTTGTGTCTAACCTCAGTGGACAGGGACTTTTGAAATTGAGACAGAGGATCCATGTGATTTAAATCTATTAGTCTAGACAACATTGTATGCAAATTATATGCACATTTCTAATATTGTTGATGTCCTGGCATACCCAACAAGCTAAAAAGTGATTCCCTAAATTTATGTTATTACTACATTAGTATGCAATTTACTACACAGTGGTATAATTTCAAAATTTTACTGTCTTTTGATATGATTAAAATGTCTCAAACTCTAAAGAACTGGATGCAGTGATTTGTTACCCTTAAATATTCATGTAAATTACAGTGGGTTTTTTTTGTTTGTCTTGATTTACAGATTGCTACTGTAGCATGTAACATAAAAGATTTAAAACTTAAACAATTTGAATATTTTCTCTTGTATATTTTCTTTCAAGGAATACTGATGAATATGACAAGATGGAGGTGGATACCCTTTCAGATAGATGATTTATTGTTGGAGAGAGGGAAATATTGGACCTGCTTAAAAGGAGCATGTTTCAAAGAGTGAGGTGGACCAATACTCTGCTCTTCGTTGTTGAGGCAGAGAAAATAGCTGCAGGAGTAAAGTATTAATTTACCTGCACAGTACATATGTAAGTACATGTATTTCATACCAGTTTGAAGCTCATTTCTAAAGTTTAACATGTTTAATAATGAAAAGAACATTCAGAGTAAGATGTTTTGAGGATAAATTCAATACTACATTTCATTAACATATTCATTGCATTGCTATAATGAATTAAACTACTTTAAAGAAATAATTAATAGGTAGTGTAATTCATGATTTTAAAAAAGGATTTGTTAATGAATAGTAAAGAAAAAATGACATGCTACATTATAAACCATCAAAATTATAAGGAGACAGAATGAAAATAAATTTATCAATAATGTCTTTTAGAAGCTTTGAAAAAAAAGAAATTTTAGGCCTTACAAAGAGAGAAGCATAATTGAATACTAGTATAAGAAATAATAAAAAATATAAATATACAGTTTTTCATGTATTACTTAACAGAATTCCACATTTACAATTTCATTTTTATTGCAGGAGGGTCATGTAGGAAAATGGATGTCTACACAATTTTATGGAGAGAGAAATGCTGTTGCAATCCTGCTGCAACTTCTGGTCCTTCATTTTTGGGTATCATGGGATCAGTTTACCGTTGGTTCCAAATTTATTGATCTTGCATAAGGATAAGCAAGACAATTCTAAAGAATGCAGCTTTAGTACAGAGTATGTTTTACCAGTAATGCTTGAATTAGTGATGGAACGATTGTCGGCGACAATCGATTGTCGGTCGTTAGAAGCTCTTCGATGCTACTAATCGATAATTATAAAATAAATGTCGCCGACATCGCTAACAAAAAATAAAATTGTCATACTTTAATTTTATTACCAAAGCCAAGTGCAAAGAGTATAAAAGTAGTGATGAACGTTGAAAACATGGAAGGATTTCGTGTCTTGTTGATACTTTTACCGCCATGATTAAATATGGGGTTAGACTAATACCAGGAAACGCTAATATTGCAAGGTTTTACTATACAAAGGAAAACATAATTAGTCTAGTCAATCTTTAAACGTAATTATTATCATAAATACAAGTCTAACTTCTGGATAATTACTTTTAAGACTTGCAATTTTATTATTTTAACTAATTAAAACTTATTTTAAGAAAAATATACATGTATTAAATGAAAGGTGGGACTAATATCAGTAAAATACCCACTGCATGGACTTTATAAAAAAAATAAAATAAATTTCCATTCTGTTTCAATAGTCTTATATAGTCCTATATTATTTAAAGTAAACAAAATATTATTTTCCACTTTTTATAAAAGAAATTTCAATTAGCATTTTTGAATATTTTATGTAAGTAAATGTTTTTTTTGTAAAAGTTTGACAGAAATCTGAATAAGTTTCAACTTTTCTATATTAATTTTATTAAAGTTCAAAATGTCGATTATAATCGATTATTAATCGATTATGCCCCGTCGATTATTACCGATAATCGATTCTGATTTTTTTCCGATTCCCCATCACTAGCTTGAATAGATTTCTCTACATTTTTAAGAAAAGAAAACCTCTCATTTATTGCAATATTTTCTGCATTAATTTTTGATAAAAGTTTGTCTTCATATTTGGCATATTATTTTTGGAAAAAATTTTATTCAGAAGCAAGAATAAAGTTTTCAAGTCTCATGTAAAGTCAATGCAGTGATTTGAATATAAATCAAGGACAAAATAAAAAATACAGTAATTTCATACATTTTATATGGTATTACACGACTGTGCAATTTTAGGAACTAGGTTGCTGTGCAGTAGGTTTACCAGCAGTAACAGAGAAACAGAAAACCAAGCAGTGGATTGTGTATAAAAAAAAGTCAATTAAAGAATACACATATATTGCAGGTATTAAATTTTATGCAATATACATTTTAATTATTTTGAGTTATTTCAATTTAGTAACCTTTATAATGTTTAAAAACTTTAATAAATTATATACAGATATATATATATATATATATATATATATATATATATATATATATATATATATATATATATATATATATATATATATATATATATATATATATATATATATATATATATATATATATATATATATATATATATATATATATTTTTTTTTTTTTTTCAAAATCTGTATTGACATTTAAAATTGTCACTCTTAAGGTCTATTTTCTATTTTGCATCGACACAGATTCATCAATTTTCAGACATAAACTATTTTCATTTTACAGAAAAAAAAAACATTACCAATAGATCCTTCTTAAAGAGAACTCTTCGTCAGACGGGTCAATTCAAGAAATTTATCTTTTAAATTCAGTGTACTAACTCAAGAGACCTGCTGGTCACATGCTCACCTGTCTATCCCCCGTCCGCTCGAGTCAGTTGCATGCATGCATTTACCGGCTATTTTGTGTTATTTTGTGTAGGTAAGAACAGTATGAAATAAGTATATCAATTCTTCATTATTCAGATAGAGGTGCAAATTTAGAGGCAAACACTTAGGAGCGGGTATTATTGTTTTATTAAAGCATCTAATATTTGGACTTTTTAAATTTCGTTCCAAATATTATACCCTGCATGTAATATTTATAAACTTATAATTGGAACACAAACAAATATAACAAATATGTGAATTTTTTCGAATACAAATAGGTTACAACTTCATTTAATCAATAAACTCTGAGGGCAGATTACAGATTCAGCTTCATTATTGTTTAAGGTATTCAATCCCCAATAGCAACAGATTCAATGAAATTGTAACAGGTGTTGAATACTCAGTACATATAGACACTATTCCTTTGATTACTATTAGCTTGTAAGAGTGGGAATTGTCCTCAATTACGACCTTGAAATTTGGTAAGAGTTATTTCTCTCTATTGTTGATTAATAAAGATAAAACAGTTTTAAAAATTTCATCCGGTAAAAAAATTATTTTCAATTGTCATTCTATTTGAAATGTTTGTATGCATCTTTCCACCACAGTTTTTTGATATTCATATTATTCGAATTTCTGTTAAAAAACACAATCATCCCCATTAACTTTAATGCAACCTAGTTATTTAATTCTTGCTTAGTTAATGAAATTGTTTACCTTTCTCGCGAACAATCCTTTTCTACTATGAAATATCAGAGTATTATGTACCAGACGGACATTCAAGGGCATAGAGTTTGATTTATTTAAGGGATGGAAATACATGTATATGGAAGGAGATGGTAATCATAAATTCGTCGATATTTGTAACATGATGTAGCGTAAACTATTTTTTTCTTAGCTATATTAATCAAAATTGAATGTTAGCCGAAACAGAGAAAAAAACACGAGAAAACATGTGTTATATGCATATATATTTTATCAGATTTCTCAGAGAAGTGTCATCTAATTGGCTTTATAAGGCGCCATTGTATGGTCCTAGGTCTTCTACGACAACACTTTGCGTTCTCTATGTTCCTTCCTATTTTTCAAAAGAAATATGATTATACATACACACTGTAAAAGAAAAAAAAAACATTTAACTTGTATAACCTTGAATTATCGTAAATTGGTATGACAAGGTACATGTAACAATAGTACGAAAGCCGAAAAAAATATTTTATCTGACAGCCTCCAGATCTTCTATCTAACATCCGCCAAAAAATTTTTTGGCGCCCACCAAAAAATTATTTGGTGGTCGCCAGATAAAATATATTTGTCTACCTGGAACCTATAGATAATTAAACTTTCACTTCGAAACATTGACACCATATTTCATTCGACATCTAGATTAATTGACGACACAATATCAATGAACAATAGTTATTTCAATTCACATGCCGACATGATATATCCCTAAATGCTTAAAATAAACAATACTACAAAGTCGGATATTCTGTATCATATTTAGTAATTTAATGTGAAAGAGAAGGTAATGGTTACCAACAACAAAGCTTTCTTATAAACATGATGGTCCCTTGCATATACTTATGTAATACATGGGGATTTTGTCTCATAAAACATGGAATAAAATAAAATTTCAATTGATTTGATATACAAAAACATGCTGTAGAGGAACTAAAACGAGGCAAATTTTTGACAAACAAGTTAATTAATAAAGAATATCAAAAGTATCATTGACTTTTCTCGAATGCAAGTCAAACTCTAAGGTGAAGGTAAAAAGGTCAACATTTTTTGTATCTAAAGAAGATCTTGTCATAAGGATTACATCTTTGAACAATGAATGTCCTAGTACTAACGATTCACAAGGTATTGCCAAGATTGAATTTTTTTTAGAAGTGGCTTGAACTAAATGGTTGAGGTCAAAAGGTCAATTTTAATTTCCATTGAAAGGTCATAGAAAAATCCCTTGTGGAAAATAAAAGCCCTGGCACCAACTATCTAAGGTTAACGTTCGGAATATTTTGGTAAAAGTGGGTCAAACTCAAAATTCGAGAGATTGTATCCAAAGAAAGATTTTGTCAAAAAGAATTCCTCCATGAAAATATGAAAGCCATTGCTAGGGATGTGCAATTTTATCGGTATACCGGTATATCGCGATTTTTTGTTGCGTGATACGTATCGTATTACGGAGACCTCAATAACGGTCTTTAGGTACATATTATAAAGTCCAGAAATTATTCACTTATTTGTTAAATCTTTCAAATTACAATTACAGAAAGTATAAAAAATATTGTAAAAAGTGAAAAGAACGGCATCTCACCGTCCAAACATAACTGATTTTGATATACATAAAAAATTTAGGAAAGTAAAATTTTGTTTTTCTAGCATATTTTTTTAGAAAAATGATGACTTTTCATATAAAATTATTGTAAAAACCGCTCTTATAAATATCATGAGATATCATGAAATTATCGTGATATTGTGGGAAAAAAATCGTGATATATCGCGATACGAAATTTTTGGCGATACCCGTCCTAATGGTCATATCCATTCACAAGCTATGGCCAAGGATAAAGTTTTACGGACAAAGAGACAAAGAGATAAACAGACAGAAAGAAAGAGAGAGACGGACGGCAGGTTAAAGATTATGCATGCCCGATTCTTTGATTGCTGAGGCAGAGAAATAAGAAGAAGGATAAGGAGAAGCAATATGTTCCCCAACTTTGTTTGAATAACATGATTATACATGTACTAAGAGTATGATATTACTTACGATTTACGGTTATACAAAGAACGAAGCCTACTGTGTGCCTTGGTATCGAGTTCTAAAAAAGCGGAAGACATACTTATTTTTTCTATCTTTTTTATTGAAAAATGTTACAACGCACTTTGAAAAATTACGCACTTTGAAAAAATTTGGGACCAAGCTAACGCACTTTGAAAAAAAGAATATTTTTTCACAGTGCCTTAATATCGACCATATTAACGCACTTTGAAAAAAATGAAAAGGTTGATCAATATTCCTTCAAATAATCGGTATGATAAATAACAGATCCTGGTTTGATAACTTTTTTATGATAAAGTCACTGTAGGACCTGAGATATTAACGTTTCAAATA